GTTGCCAATTTTTGCCGGCAATAAAAATTAGTCGCAATGCACGAATATGGATTTGGCTTTGTGCTTGATTTTTTGTCTGCTTTTTGTTCCTTTTCAAATTTGAATTTGAATTTTTCGACTCTGTCGATTCGAATGCAAAAATTGAAAACTCTTTTAGCCTGCCAATCGAACGTTAATTAATTACGATTTATTGACTAAATTTGTTGATTAGACAATTGACGTCTGTCGATGTTGCAGTCGTTGTTGCTATAATTACTGTTTTTCTCTGTTTTGCCGCAGTTTTAGTGGTTGCCACACATTTTGCTCGCTCGCCACAATTGTCGTCAATTAATTTTGTTTTGATTTTGCTGATTTGATATGCCGACGACGCCGCCTTGCAGGTGGCATTGGGATTTAACGGCCAGTGTTTTATGATTTTTTTCCTCATTCGAAAATTGCTTGCAAATCAAAAGCGTATCAATCATTAATTACGAATATAAATCGTTTTAGTGTCTTGGCTAACGAATCTCAGATACAAGTAGAAAGAAAAAGTTGAACTAATTTTGCGTTTAAGAGGTTTTTAGGCTTGTATGAAAATGGCAATATGATGGTGGCATCAAAGAGATAAAAAAACAAGATAAAATAAAAAATAATACAAATTTTATTAGCCACTTGCATGTAATTAAGAAAATAAAAGTTAGTACTTAACTGTTGAAGGCTTTCAACACATTTTCAAAGCAATGCTGGATATTCAGTTAATTTATTGTTAAATAAATAATGTGTAAACTTTTCTTTGTATTCCATTTAATAAGTACTATTTTTTTTTTTATTTTAAGTATTAATTTTAGTTAGTCATTAGTTATAAGTTAAAGCACACATCACTTAATTGTGTGATTTTCTTAATGTCTGGTCCCAGTGGATTTTCTGAGACTGTGAAAAACTCTTTGAATTCCCATTCGAAATACCAATTCGTCTCGGCCAAGCAAACTAACGGAGAGAAATGACTGACAAGTGTACGGCAGAAAATTTCCATAGATCCACTCTTAGCCGAGGTGATCTGATGGTGTGAAATTCCTAACTCGCCACTCTTGTGGCCACTTCTTGCCGCATCAATCAACGGCGGCAGCTTAAATGCTGCATCATGACAAAACCATTACACTTGACCAGGCTCAAAGAGCGGAGAGTCGGCAGATGCTCAGATGACTAGGCTTCTTGGCCGTGATTGATTGATTGGCAGCGTGAGGTGAACTTGGGCAACCCGGCTGATGCTTTTGTCTAAAAGCCGTTTAGAATAACACCACAACGAGCCGGGACCCACAGCCAAAGACTCGGGAATCCCATCCCAGGTCCAGGCCAGCAGCGAGAAATTATGCATTGTATTGGTAGATAAACCCAAAATGAAGAAAACAGAAATAATGTTTAATCTGTGCAATGCACCCTCACCTGGCCTCATCTTGAACATTCTCGTCTACACTGGGGAAAAGTAAAACTAAACAGGTTATAGTCTTCATACAATTTAAGTGAAATTATTGAGCCGAAGTTTTCTGCAAAATTGTATTTAAAAATAAGTGAAGTTACAATTTATCCCAACAGTAATTGGAATAAATATTTGTATAAAATTATAAGCTCTTTTAAATTTTTATTAAAACACAAGTCAGTTAAAAAAAGCAGCTTAAATTAAAGCCATTTTCATATTTTTTTAATGGTTATGTTACCAAATAATAAATATATACTTTCTAAAGAACCTATCAAGTTCCTTTCCTAAGTCTTTTGTTTTGATTAAGATGCACTCGATTTTTCCCAGATTGTGTCATTAATCTTTAACAAAAGTATACTCATTTTTGGGGGGTTATTAAAAAGAGTTCCCATCCATTCATAGAATATTTGAAATAACTGGCATATTTTCTAACAATCCCTGGCCCACTTTTCTCCTGGTGTAAGCAGTCTTTTAGCTGATTCTGGAGGATCAACAGCAGCATCAGCAGCAGAATACCAGCCGCTGGCCAGCCGTTCAGTTGATTGCGCCTTCATTATTATGCCAAACTGTGCGCCGGCATTCGTTGAATTTGGCTCTTGCAATTTGCTCTCGATGCCGGCCGGCCGTTTGCCTCCTTTCAGGCTCGAAACTCAAACTCCATCGTTTTGGGGGCATTAAAAATGAGCTCGACGTAACAGGTGGATGCCGATGCCGATGCCGACGATGCTCGACGTGATTTTCGCCAAATCGTTTAGATTATTTCGAGATTGCTTGCGCCAGTCGCTCCGTACCGCCAACCGACTTGGCACTCCTTCACTTCACTTCGGTTCACTTCACTTCGGTTCGGTTCACTTCACTTTACTTCGCTTCAGTCCGCACCTTGCATTTGAACTTGAAAACATTTCATTTTTTTCTGTTTTTAGATGCCTGTAGCTGGGGGCATCCACCATCCACCATCTAAAGCATCCAGTTCTTCGGCCCGATCGATTAGTGGCATTCTATTGCGTTCAATTTTCCATGTGCAACATTGAGGCGATCGTCGAGAGCGCTGCCATCGCCGCTGGCACAATAAACACGCGATTTATTTCATGCCAGGCATTCAAGTGCCGCCTCAGTCGGTCAAAGCCAAGGAGGAGCCCAATCCAATCCCCCAATCCTCGTGGCCTGCTCTGGACTCACCTGGACCTGGAACTGAACCTGGACCGACTTGCCTTGGCTCAGCCTCGGCCGCAGCTCGGCCTGTGGTATGTGATAATGGGATGATGGTATGATGATGCATGCCCAGCATACACAACAACAGCAAGGGGCCCGATCGAGGAAAGGGCGGGGGGAATAAGCTCAACCCCAAGTTTGGACACTGAACAGGGAATGCTCTACGAGATTTTTGTATTTGTATTATTTAATAAACATTTTAAACTTATTAGTATGCCATTGAGTTCAACAATTCTTATAATATCTCCAAATATTCTATATAATTGGGATCAATCCATTTATTTGTTGAAATAGTAAGAAGTGTTTTTTTGCCATCAGCTTATCTGAATTTAATAACGAATAGAATACCCTTAGAAAAATTTAATAAGGTCCAAGCAACATTTTATTTTACTATTTTTAAATTTAACTGTCAAGTGTATTAAATATAGATAAACTAAATATTTTAATTAATAAAGTCCAAAATGTTTATCATAATATTAATAAACTATGATGACAAGGAATTTTATGCTCAAAAACATTAATTTGCTTTATCAAAAACATGAAATGTTTTAACCTTGCTTTAGCTCTTTAAAAACTAGATGTATAACATTGATTTTGCTTTTTATACAAATAAATACTGTTTAATAAAAATATGAAAGTCTTAGAACTAAGATTGTTTTGATTGCTGAAATTTTCATTGGTCCTGATTTGTGTTAACAAACTTTACCTTATAACCTATATAGTCGAACCAATTCTGAGGGTAATCACAACAGTAATAATAGCTGCCCACAATTCGATTTTTTTTGCGGGCTTTAACTAGCGACCAAGGTTAGTCGCTGGCTTGCTGGCAAGTTGCTGCAACTATCGGTCGTAGGGGGCTTACTCTGGCGCATTTTAGCCGGTAATTGCTTGTGATGTATGATTTTGAGTTCTAGTTTTCCTGGCCTGGGAATATTTCTGCGCCGGCCCCGGCTTTTGTTGTCCGCCTGATTGCTGGCGATGCCTATATATGCGGGTGATGTATGTTATATAGCCGCAGCCACAGGTATAAGCTATAGCCATAGATATTGATTTGACAGGCTCTGAGCGACGACTCTTCTGGCTGTAAGTTCGACTGCTGGCCAGCTGATGATGACGACTACTACGACGACTACGACGACCATGATGATGATGATGATGATGGGAGAGTACCACCGACTGTCACACTTTCTAAGCTGAGGAGAGGGCACTTTCACCCAATTAGAGTGCGATATGAGCACGGCCTGGAAATATGCAAAATATACCAATATATATACCTATACCCTTTCCCGCCGATGACAATCTTTTGTTTTCACTTCTGCAGAAACAAAAGCCATAAAGGATAAATTGTGAGCTGGTAGCCGCGCATTGAACTCTTGGCTTCGACAAGTGCACAGCGGGGGATCCAGAAAGATCACCACCAATGATATCCTACGCCCAACGAAAACAAAAAAAAAAAACAAAGACAAAAAAAAAGCAGAATGTATACGATCGTCCAGCCAAAAGGCTGCAATTTTGTTTTCATTTTGGAGCTAAATGGAGTTGGCCGAGGCGATCGTATCGCCTTATTGTTTGCCTTAACAATTGGGCCAACTTTTCGAGCTTCTATCGTACACATGATTGATCGAGGGAGGAGCCGGGGGAAGCTGCGGGAGAACCCAAAAGCCACAAATATTCTTTACAGGCAGACAATTTCTCCCCCACCTCGTGCTCTTTTCGTTGTGCTTTTCATGCCATTTCGATACGGGCCTCATTTTTCTTGCCACAATTAAGAAGAAAGTTGGCAGCAATTAGAAAACGCACATCGATCAAAATCGCCTCCCGACAACGAACGTCATGTTCGAGTGCCGTGTGTTTTGTTTGTTTATCCAAGCATCGGCATCGGCATTTCAACCTGCAGACAAGTGAGTGTGGAGCTGGGGAGCCCGGATAATGCCCCAGAAATACTCAGACATATTTCACCTTTTGTGATATTAGAATGTAATATATTCAAAATATGCATTCAATTATTTTGACTTTGAATGGGCCAAAATGTAGGCTCTCAATTACAACTCTATTTTATTTGGCAAGCAACAATATTAAAAGTAATAATTAGGGCAAACTATTAAATTACAGTTTAATTTATTATATGAACAAAATATTATATGATTTAAATAATTTATTAATTATAATTAAAAACTTATCCAAACATTTTTACTGCACAATGTGGTTTCAAGGACTTTATGTACTATATTTTATCTTAAGGGAATTCAAGCTAACAAAACTTTTTCCATGCAAAATATACCCAAAAAAATCTTTATCAACACAAGATAATATTTAGCCATGATATTGCTTTCAAAAAGAACACCAGATTAAACATCATTCCAAATTCCAGCAACAGATATCGATTGCCAGCGACAACGAAATTTAATTCTGATGTCGCGTATGATCAGCAGGGATGAAATCCCGCGGGATAGGAGCTTAGTCCAGGAGTTACGAAGTGAAATTAGCCGCCACTCGGCGGAAATCAGCTTTAACTTCTGGCAGGAGTTCGAACAGATCCGGTCCACTCAGCAGAATCGCCTGGCGGAGGAGCGTTTGCAGCGGCAAAGGATCAGCACGATGATGCGGGATGGCCAACAGGAGGTCAATGAGGAGGCTGAAGCTCTTAGTCGATCCATTAGTGCGCATGGAATGACGGTGAATTCAACAAACTTACCATCACCCTTGGCAGCAGCACCCACGGCCTCCTTGCTAAAGAACTCTTTGGTTCAAGAAGTCCGCAATTTGTCCACTCGCCAAAATCCGGGTTTTAAACGCAAGCCACAAAAGCAGAAATTTCAATTTTCCAGGACCAACAAGTCGAAGGCAAAGCCCAAAACCGAAGATGAACCAACGTTGCCATCGCCAGCACCCTCACATATTCCAAGAGCACCACCCACTTCAAGGGCCACCATGGTAACTCCAAATATATCCAATGGAGTTACTCCCAACATATCAAAGATGCGATTGGCCAACAAACCCAAGAAATAACGATTTTAATGTATCCTTACTAAATTGTATTTCAGACAGCCAGAAAGCGAGACTTCAAGATCAAAGATTTTAAGATATGCAGTTTAAATAGTTAACATTGCAAAAATAAAGCCTCATGTAAAAGTGAAAGAACTCAACTTTTCGGTTGCTCAATCTGAGTCATTTATTCCAAGTTACAGGGAAAGGACTCTTTCGGATTTTGTTTTTTGACAAGTCTCCAAAAACCTAAAAAACACCTATAAAATCAGTTTTTCTATCAAAACGATTAGAAGTAATAGCCAAATGATTGAATGTCATACATCGCTGAATTCGTCATTAAATTTTCTAACAAATGGCGTTCGCAGTTAAAAATATTTCAGTTTTTCAAATTTTGGAAAAAAATGATGATGTACCCCCTTATCAAAAATGCAAAAATTGGTCTAAAAATAAATTTCTTCAAAAAATCGATTTTTAAAAATCTGTTTTTGCAAATTAAAATTTTGTTTCAATTATTTGTTATTGTTTGAAATACATACGATCTAATCTTAAGAGATTGTTTGGCCTTTTACTCCTTTTTTAAAGCGCTTATATTTAATATATATCCCATTACGTTTCTTTGATATCTTTTTCGCGCAATTTGTGCCCCGCATAAACCCATTTCCACATAACCAATCGCCTGACGAATGCCACCCGGTGTGCACTTTGCACTACAAATTCCGGCTAAAACATACACATAACGAAATCAAATGAGAAACAACAACCAAAAAAGCGACGACGAGACAGAGACTTGCAAATTAATTAACGGTACACGGGCCTCGAGATGGAGGAGATCCGAAACTCAGAAAATCAGAAAACAAGCCCGACACGCACCCCAGACACCTGAGTAATCAGCATTATGTGGGCATGGCCATCGATGGTGGTGCTGGTGCTGGTACTTCTCGATAAATCACCGATAAAAAACAATCAACACAAATGTAACGTTATTCATCACAGGTGGTAAATATTTCAAAATCGAACTGACAACAAACGCGCGCCGAGCTTAAAAATAAAAGTCATACCCCGACGTTGTTCGCGTTTCTGGTTTCGGTTTCTGTTCTCAGATTTCCGATACACAGATTCGTTCGAATTCTGGGTCAGAATAATTAATAAATGCCGCTCTTATTTGGCGCATGACTGGGCTGTAACAAAGATGTGGCCACGCAGAAAGAATACAGATCAATTTTTGAGCACGATTACTCATCAATGAACTGCTTAAAACTGTATATCAGTAAAACATATAATAAGAAGGTAAATTTGAAAATTAAAGTCCTCAAAAGGATATTCTTACGAGAAGATAATAGGTATTTTAAATATAAATCGATCTAAAAAAAAATATTTTAAAAATTCCCGGTGCAGATATTCAACAGTTTTGTGGTCGCTTTAGCGCACGCGCACCAATAATCAATCAAAACGTCTTAAACAAATCACTCGGGCCTCATGTGCAACTACCAAAAAATCAACAGAGCAGGGACAAAAAATTACAGAGCCGACTTCTGACTGACTGACAAACTGACTAACTGACAAACTGACTGACTGGCAAGTTTGGCAACTCCGAGGCTCTGAGACTCCGGAGAACTGTGATGGACAACAGTCACGATTTGCATGTGCGACAACTGTTGCCAGACCGGCAACAACGACGGCAGAAACAACCATCAACCAGGCACATTGAACTGTCATTGACACGGGGGAGAGTCGAGGAGAACGCCAACCCGGAGACCGAAGACCGGAGATCGACGGCTGGAGACTGGAGACACCTGTAGCAGCAGCCACAGAAGTTGAAAGGCAAAAGGCGAACTCCCTCGCACAGTGGCTCGAAAACCGATCAAAACATAAAAAACACTTATTAGGAGCTTTCAAGCAATAAAAACAATAAACCATTCTACTCTTTTTGATGATCAATAAATCCAACCAACAAGTCTACATCATGTTAGAATAAAAGCGTTTTTTAACTCTCATGACTTAACAAAGTAATCCCAGATGTCTTAAAATATACAATCATCAAAAACTATAAATTCTACCAATGTCAATCAAATTTAAACGCTTTAAAGCTAAAACTTTTAGGGTAACAAAAAACTGAAGTAATATTTCCCACCGTTGATCGACTGTATGTAAAAAAAGTTTCGTTCTTTGATTTGGCTAATAAAAAGTTTTATTTCTTTTCAAGTTAGTAGTTTTCGATTGAATTTAATAGTGCAATGCTCTCGGCTATGTACAAGTTCCCTAAAAATTAGGCTCTTAACTTGTGAACAGGTTCTTAAATGTCTATGCCATTAACTAAAACAATAAAAATATTTAAAAGTTTTATAAATTCAACAGAACGTTATTACATTATTAGCCAAATGTGAACAATAAAAATGTTCTGCAAAACAATTAACTGCAAGGCAAATGGTAATTATTGGAACATTAAATGCCACCCCAAGTCACTGTACACAGGTCCGCTTTTGCTATTGCATTGGCTCGGATCGTTTGTGGGTGCGGCGGTTTCAGTAGCCACCACCAACAGCTGGACCCCCGACCCTCAGTACACCCACCCACCGACCCGCACCACCACCCCCTTTTGAGACACTGAAATGGCAACTCAGAGGCCAATTACCGCAAACAAATTCGAATGCGAATGCGCATTGAAATTGTGGCAAGGTTGGTAATTTAAGACTCACGCTGTCTCGAAATAAAAGGAGTCCGAGAAACAGAAAGAGAGAGATTCCCGCGAGAGAAACCGAGGCGAGAACCGTTTTTTTGTCGCACCACTTGGCGGTACAGAGAGAAAAAACACTTTCAGCCATACAACTTAAAATTAATATTGAACTTCCTGCTGTAAAAGTAATCTTAGCAATACTTTAATATGTATTGATCGGGAATATTACAAGTATAATCATTAAGGCAGGTCCTAAAACAAGTCAATTCTTTTTAACCATGGTCACTCTCAACCAAAATATCTGCCAAAATATTTGTACATTTAAGAAGGGTCACACCTATTTCTTATCAACTAACAGTATTAAAAGGATGAGCATCTCGTTGACGTTTTTTTCTCGGTGTGCAAAGCCGCTTTTGACCAGGTGATTGAATTGCTGATTTAACGGTTTCTGTTGTCAAATTAATGACATTCATTCATTCCATGTGGTCGAGTCAGAGTCTGAGTTTCAAGCCCGAGTTTCAGTTGAGCAAACGTGGCCAAAAACGGTAGTTTTTTATTGCTGCTCTGGCAAATTGCAGCGCGTGTTATTATTGTTGTTATTACTGTTGCAGCCGTTGTCATTGCTGTTATTAATGTAGTTATTAAATATTTACAACTGCCGCCGCACAAAGCGTGCCTTTTGGAAAAAAGGTTTATTGGGCATGGGAGTGGGCCGGGTTCACAGTTGGGTGTCAAAGTGCAAAAGTTTAGCGCAAAGTTCTTGTCATTATTTGTTCGCCGCTTGTTGATTGTCGGATTCTGTTTCCTTGTAAAAGTGAAAGGGAAACGCTGGCAAATCTATTCTCGGCCGCCTTGAGTTTAAGGCTTAATTAATGGCTCTTTTATATAATTTAATTAGTTGTTAATGATTTGCTGATTGGACTGGCGCGGGTGGTGGCCCCCCATGAATTAAATGCTAAACTAGACTGACTTCGCAGGGGCTTGGCAGATGTCAGGGTTGCCCAAAACTAGTGGCTAAGACACTAATGGTCTAATGGCCCAGTCATGACTGTCAGTTGTGATAGCGGCTAATGGTTGGGATTGCCAAAATGTGGAATATGAAAAAACTAAAGAATTGTCAAACGCTTCGATAGATACGAGATGGCTTTAGGTGGTCAATAAATCGTTGAGATAATTTTTGTCAGAAGAATATATGTAATGTGTCAGGTTTTTGCAAAAAGGTTCCTATTTTATTGGGCCTCTTAGAAAATAGATTTTTTAATTTCAAATTAAATTTGAATTAGAAACTTGATTTTAAAAAAATATTTAATCATATTTGAATGGTTTAATTTGCTTACGCCTTTTCTCATTGCCATTGACCGAAACCCCTACTCCCACAAACAAAGCTTGCCCCAAAAAAAAGTCAGTTGAGGCCAAATCGAACATGGCAGGCTAGACAAAATGCTTGTTGTCGATTTTCGCGTTCGATTTTGAACAAATCCCCCAAACTAAGTAAACAGCAACTGCCTGCGTGAATTGCGCATTCAACATGCGTACACCACGCGATAAATAATATTGGAAAATGTTTTTAAATTTGTCACAATTTCAGCAACTGCATGGCCAGAAACAAATACAACAAAATAGAGAGAAAAAAAAGAAATAGTTAGTCATTCGACGGCTTTTATAACATTTATCGGAAAAGCGATTTCCTTGCCAATTAGTCAAGGCTTATGGGGGCGTTAAGCGAGTGCTTAACTCAGGCACGAAAATTGCCGCCAGATGGGCATAAAGATATGGCGACACATGGGCCCGGTGATAAGGTAAAAAATACCAACGGCTTAAGCGGCAGCGACCTGTCAATATTCCATTTGATTGATTTCGATACGATTCCACGATTCGTTTTTTTGAAAGCCAGATGCAAAACTCTGTATCAAAAACGCAATCGTAATTCAAGTGCTCCACATTAGGCATCGAAATCCGTGTCTGACTATCGTTTTCCGCGCATTTTATTGCCACACCAAGGCAATAATCTAAATGCTCATATCAAAAACGCATGTCGGGAGCAAAACCAAACCCAAATCGTGGCCAAATCCCTGGCCAAATGCCCAAGACGATGGCAGTGGCACACGCAACTGGCAAAAAGGAAACTCTCTTGTTGCTCTTGCTCTTGATTTTTTTATGTTTTATATGATTATACCCTTGAACAGGGTCTTTGAATTTTTTGAATTGCTTTATTACATTTAGAAATCATATATTTAAGGTGTTTGGACGACAGTTAAATAGCTATTAATTAAATTTCTTAATTATTTTATAGAATTGAATTTAAGACGACAAAAATACTTGCATGCCTTTTGATATTCTAAACTTTATTTTAGTGGTTTGGAATTGAAAAATATCTATGAAGACTTTTATATTTCTGACTGTGTTTATGATATTGTTAAAAACACAACCAGCTAAATAAAAACGACTTGTTATAGTTATATAGTTCATTTTTAAT